ATATATATATATATATAGACGGCCTCAAAATTGGGGTTAAAAGGTGGCTAGAGGTGTGCATTGGTAAGTTAGATCGAACTGGGAAGACCCACTCCCGATGGGCGGGGCGTTCTCCAGAAATGCGATACTTTATGAAAACATTTATAACTCGGTTTGGAGAAAGCCAACAGAGCAGGAAAAAGTTGATGTAGGAGAAGTATTGTCGAAGGTATCTCCAGCATAAATGACGTCGGCGAAGGTCCGCCCTTAATGGGCGGAGCGTGCCTCAAAGCTCGCATCGTTTCTTACATTAATACACGAAAATCCATAATTCCGGTTCCCATGGACCTAGAGAGTTGAAATTTGGTAGGAGTACAGGCGACAGGATGGGAACACTTATGATGGGTGGCAGGGCCAGACTACGCCTACAGGAGGCGAGGTTTGAGCGGATACTCATAAATCCGACGCCAGAATACAAGCTTCCAATCTCTTCGCAAAGGCTCCCATGGTGGGCCGCAAGTAGTCGACATCAATTTTCTGCCATTCCCTCTGAAGAGCTGCTTTAAGACTGTCCAAACTGCGGTGTGGTGAAGAAGACACTTCCTGCTGCAGATAGCTCCAAACGGAGTAGTCCATTGGATTGAGGCCTGGGGAGTTAGATGGCCACATGTCTTTGTACCAGAATCCAGGAAAATGATGTCGGCAAAAGGAAATCGTGGATTTCGACCCATGTGCTGGTGCCCAGTCCTCTTGCAAGATGGAGTTCCGTACTCCAAAGTGATTTCGGGCGCATGGCAACAGCGTCTCCCTTAAAATAACATTCTGGTAAGTTTCGGAGTTGATTTTGATGTTTTTACCAACCAAAACGAGAGGTGTTTTGCCTTCTGATGTTATTCCGGCCCATACCATCACCGACTTCGGGAACAGGCTCCTGGTTTTTACTCATCGTTTTTTGGAGTTTTTCTCTCCCCGAGGTAGCAACTGTCGCTGGTTATGGCTGTTGTGCGCGACCCCGACCAAAAAGATTTTCTCGTCTGTCCAACACGATGTCCGAGAGGCGGCCCGCACGAACTGCTACCAAAAGCTTCTGACATTTTTCCAGTCTGTTCTTCTTTGCTGCTTCGCCGAGCATCTGGCCTCGGAGGAAGCGGTAACTGTGTAAATCTAGTTCACATTTCACAATGTTTTGAACACTTCTTCGTGAAATATGCAAATCCGAAGCAATTTTGTTCTTGCTGACCTCATCGTTGCGTGAGATCCTCTTCTTGATCACCTCCCGAATCCGAGGAACATTGACAGTTTTTGGACACCCTCATTTTGGAAATGGTAGATGGTGTCCAAGCTCCCTGCACTGGGCCACAATTCTTCTGACCATTCTATCGTTAATGTGCAGTCTTCTTGCAATCTCCGCAGCGGAACATCCTTCGTCCACGAGATGTGCGATTGTGGCACGGTGAGGAGATGGTCGCATTTCTCCGAAGTACTTCTACCGACAGTCGCAATGATTTGGCTACAGTGCATGACTGACATGCTTTATTCAGAGCATATTAGCATATTATATGTATATATAGCCTACTTCTATAATCGACTAAGTGTGTCTGTTGTTGTGTTCGTGTGTTTGTATGTGTGTGTGTATGTGTGTGTGTGTGTGTGTGTCTGACCGAAAATTCATAACTCCTGTCCCCGTGCACCGAAAGCGTTCAAATTTGGTAGGAGTACAGGCGGGAGGATGGGGACACATTTAGGTGGTAGCAGGACCGGTCTCCACCCAAAGTTGGCGGGGTTTGTGAGAAATAAATGTTCGTGCGAAAATTCACAACTCCTGTCACCGTGATCCTAGAACGTTCAAATTTGGTAGGAGTACGGGCGGCAGGATCACCCGTATCACCTGTCACCTGTACTCCCGCTGATCGTCGATTTCCTCGAGCGGGCGCCAGTAACGTCTCCATTCGTCCCTGTCGCGAGCCAGAGTAGTCCAGTGAATCGCACTCGCTCGAGGGACACGGGGCAATACATTCCTTTCGTTCAGAGCTTTCGTGAAGAAGTCTGACCATCTCGTTGGCGGCCGTCCCGGTGTTCGCTTGACGTCCCGAGGGATCCAGTCCGTAACCGCCCTGGTCCAACGGTCATCATTATATCGCATAACCTGTCCGGCCCACCTGATCTTCGATCTCTTTGCGTAATCAACGGCATCCCTGATCTTCGTTCGTCGACGAAGCTCGGAACTCCGGATTCCCTTCTGCACTTGCGCGCATAGGGAAATTCCGAGCATCGTCCTTTCCACAGCGCGTTGAATGACGCTAACTGCATGCTCATCCTGCTTTCGTAGAGTCCAAGTCTCTGAGGCGTATGTCAAAGCAGGAAGTACCGCAGTGCCGAAAAGGTGAGTGCCGAGCCGGATGTTCTTCGTTTTCTTCACTACTCCCTCGATGTTCATAAATGCTCCCCACGCCGCGCGTTTCCGTCTGCTCAGCTCCGGAGCTAGGTCGTTCATCATGTTGACTTCTCGACCTAGATACACATAGCTGGAGCAATCAGAGATATTCGTTCCGTTCAGCATGAAAGGAGCATCAGGTACCAATCCGTTTCGCATGAACATCGTCTTCGTTAAGTTCAGTCTCAAGCCGATCTTTCCACAAGCGTTGTCAAATTCGGCCAGCATTTGTTCCGCCTGCTCGATGTTGGGTGTTATAAGCACGATGTCATCTGCAAAGCGGAGATGATGTAAGTAGCGGCCATCGACCTTCACTCCCATGCTTTCCCATTCCATATGACGCATGACGTTCTCGAGAGCGGCACTGAAAAGTTTGGGCGAGATGGTATCGCCCTGTCGAACCCCTCTCTTCACGTTGATGATGACTTCTTTATAGAATGGCGAGATCCTGGTCGTGAAGTTGTTGTAGAGCTCACGAAGCATCCTTACATATTGCGTAGGGACACCCTGGTTGCCCAGGGCTTCAATTACCGCTTCTGTCTCGACGGTATCAAAGGCTTTCTTTAAATCGATGAACGTAAGACATAACGGCATTTTGTATTCTCGCGATACCTCAATGAGTCTTGTAACGGTGTGGATGTGATCGATTGTACTGAACCCTCTCCGGAACCCTGCTTGCTCGCATGGCTGCCCTTCATCTAATATTCTGCCAATCCTGTTAAGGATGACTCGTGTGAAGAGTTTATAGATTACAGACAGCAGGCAAATTGGGCGATAATTGCCAATGTCGTCTGGATCTCCCTTCTTATACAGCAACACGGTTTTGCTAGTTTTCCACGAAGTGGGCACTTTGCNGGACCGGGTGCTGTACCATTCCTCATCGACTTGATGGCATGTCGAATTTCGGAAGGGAGAACTGAAGGGACGACATATCCGTCTTGCCTAAGATGGCAGGTAGGCATGTAGACGTGGCTGTCGAAGAGATCAGAGTAGAAGTCGTAGATGACCTTCTCCATTGCCCTTCGGGATGCAGTAACTGTTCCGTCAGGACGACGAAGGGAAGTCATCTTAGTCTTGTAATTGGCGAAATTCCGTCGGGCTTTGCGAATGCTCTTTCCGGCCTCGGCGGCTTCGTCCATAACTGCTGCTCTTCTCTCTTTCAGATCTTCCTTTATCGCTTCTCTGCATAGCTTCGCAAGTTCGGACGTTTGTTGGTGATTGCCTGTAGCTCGCGCGATTCCACGCTGGCGTATCAGCTCGAGAGTCTTCGAAGAGAGACGTTTCTTGACATCTTTGAGACTCTCAGCTCTCCTGGCGCAATCGTGAAGATGTTCGACAAGCCGGTCGTATTCTCCATCGATGTTGTCGTTTACGGAATCTTCCCATAAACTCGCCAATGAAGCGAAGTGATCCCAATTGACCGCAGTCTTGGGGCTTCGTTTCCTGAACTTCGCAGCTCTCTCTCCACGCACTGAAAAGCGGAATCTAGCGCGGAGGAGACGATGGTCTGATCCCGTGTAGAACTTCGGAACAACAGCGACGTCAGTCAGGCAAAACTTCCGATTGACGATGATGTGGTCTATTTCATTATGGAACTGTCCACCAGGTGACTCCCATGTCCATCTTAAATGAGAGGGCTTCTGGAACTGCGAGTTACCATGGATGGTGTGGGTCGTCATGATAAACTCGGACAGTCTTTCACCCTGCTCATTCCATTCCAATCCATGAGTCCCGATATGAAGCTCTTCAGCCGTTCTTCTTCGTTCGGCGGCAGGATAGGAACACTAATGGTGGATGGCAGGACCGGACACCGCCCACAATGGCCGGAGTTTGAGCGAAAATACATAACATCTGTCCCCGTGGACCTAGAGCGTTCAAATTTGGTAGGAGTTATGGGAACAGCATGGGAACACTCACTGTAGGTAGCAGGGCCAGACCCCGCCCATAGGGGCGGGGATTGGGCGAAAATTGTCAATTTGGCCCTAGAGCGTTCAAACTTAGTAGGAGTACAGGCGACAGGATGGGAATACTTAATATGGGTGGCAGGAAAGGACCGAGCCCAGAGCGGCGGGGTTTGCGCGAAAATTAACAATTTGGCCACATGGCGCTCGAAGCATTCCAACTGCACGAAAATTTTACGGAGGTACGCTTCCTTTACCGAGCTGTCCCCTTCTCTTCCCTTTTGTGATATTATACGCCGATTGAATAATCGCTTTTGTGGTATTATACGATGTTCTTACCGGACACAGCGAAGATGGATTACAGAAAAAATCGCTCCCAATTCGGAGCTGATGCTGAGGGTGTAGAGCTTTCAAGGAAAAATGAGAATCCGAAGAGTTATTTGCGTATAGCAAATTTCTTACAGGAAGGAGGATCATGAGAAGGAGGGAAGCCCGGCTAACTGGGCGGCCCGACTGGTATATATATAATGGATACCACGACGCAATAATATTGGGTGATTATTGCTTCCCGATGATTTTCCGTAGCCACTCTGTAGATAAACTCTACGTAAACAATCAAGAACCTGTTCAGCGGCCGTCAACGCTTCCATTCGTTGTTGCAATTCGGCCTCAACAGATGGAAGTGATTCGACTTTTTTGAGGCTTTGGGCAAGCTGCTTCTCCGCCAGTTCCAGTCGCTCTTGTAATGATCGCACTTTCTCTTCGTTCAGTCGAACAGCCGCATCTTTGTTAGCCAGCTAAAACTTTATCAGGGACTGAAGGCTAGAAGCAATATCCATTAATGCAAGAAAATACGCCCATTACAACAATTAACACCGTTACCCTAGTTCTGAATGAAACCTAAAGATGTTCAACAAAGCTGATCTGAGGCAATAAAATCACGTTCTACATTTCGCACGAGAACGAATCACACAGCATTAATTGATGTTCTTACCTGGTGTTCCAGCTTATCGTTAAGATCCCGTATGCACGTTGCTTCTCTTTGGATTGCCAAGAAGCGGCTCTCAAGCGTTGAGATTCGAGTTTCTTGATCACTTCGCTGAGCCTCAGTCTGAGAAAGGATAAAGGAGACTGCCTTACTCGCGAACGCAAGATCCCACTTCTCACTACGGGAGGAACTTCCGAATTTTCATGGAATTTTGATTGCCTCATTGACTTTGTTTTGCTTAAGATACTGTCTATAGGATATAGGAAAAGCACAGTAGAAGCATCTATATCAAGCGTTAACGTGGCGTATCGTAATGCTCGCTTTGCCGGCGGAGAATGAGGGTTTGCTCCAGGCGCCGTCGAGATTGCTGTACAGTGATCTTACGTAATATGTTAGCCTCGAAATAACCTTATCTGATGTTTGTCCATGTGAGCGCTTTATTTCGGCAATCATTTATTTCGCAATTGTTCAATGCACTATGGTATTTCATGGTAATTATATGACACTGTTATATTTTCATCTTCAGAGGATGATGATCTTCAGATATGCATTTGTGTGCATGATGAAACACTAACGAGACAACCCAAGAATCTGTGGCAGCAAACATACTGTTCACAGTATGTATTTTGTACATGCTCATTCTTCACAATTATGAACAAAACAGTCAATTGTTTCGAAGCTGAAGAAATTCTCATTAGGTATGACGACGTCGACTCTTTCATTAAGACCCTGCCTTGTACCACGAGCCTTTCGAAAAGCTGAAAAATCAAGAGGACAAAACATGTGCTGTACTTGTGTTAAAAAATACAGTATGCTGTCTCGCTGGAATATGTTGAAGTCCACAATGTTTACCAATGACCGTGCCTTGAACGCTCCAAAACGAAGAAAAATAAAGGTTGGATTTGTGACGTAGCGTGACATGAAACTTGTCAACTTGAACTTCACATTCTGTAGTAAAGGGCTCGCTACGAAATGAACCGCATCACTTCACTTGAATACGTAATCATAAATCGCGCTTCATAATTTCACGTGCATGTACGTGGAGGTATGCGTTCATGTACAGCTTTTTTGCTGGTGCCAGTGTAATGGATAGAGAACCACGTTTTTTGATTGTGTTTGATGAGTCTTAATCCAATTCAGGAACATGAGGTCCTTGATCATTATGTGTCGCACCCGTTTTGCCTTTGGAAAGCTCGTGGTACAAGACAGGACCTGATGAAAACCAAGGCCACTTCGTCGCTCCTAGGGAGTGCTGCACACGCCTGAGACGATTGACCGTTTTGCCTTCGGTTGTAGAGAAACAGCAGGCATAAGCTAGATTGTGCCTGAATATTGGAATAAAACAGCGTCATATAATCAACAAACCCTTAACCTCTGCTTGCGGATCTAGAGACTACCACTACGACACCTTGAAGCTTAATATAGATGCTTTGATTGCAATACACTTCTAGTTGACACTATTTTCAATTCTGGGCTACTAGATTCTTGGGGAAGATCATTTCCCGAAGAAAACCATAGGCTGATTTGGATCTCCACTCTGTCGCTGTCCCTATATCAACATTCAAAAATCCATAGGAAGTTTATTACCCAACTACTCAGAGCATTTTGGCGAGATATCACAATAGGGAGATATATTTAACATGAAACCACCGAAGCAAAGTCAAGTATGGAGAGGCAAAGGTGAAGTATAATAGATAGCAACAAGACGAAAAAATATGTTACATGATGGAAACCGCATTGATGAACTGACTTCATGCAATTGGTTTCTCAACTTTGACAGTTGCTCCTGATATGCATGCATATCCTTCTGAGAAGTGGATAGCTGAGCATCCAGATCCGCATTTCTAAATGAATTGAAGACTTGGCAAGTTTGAAATAGAAAAGAGAGCAAAAACACGTCCTTATCGCCACAGTACCTTGCGCTAAGTTCTTGCACCTGCTTGAGACTACTTGTCAGCTCTATTTTCATTCTTTCACAAGCCTCTTGCATTTCCACAATACGTGCAGCAGATTCACTGCCTATTGGGCCATTCGTCCTCTGACCTCTCAGCTAAAAGTACTCAAAACATGGCATGGAAAAGAATAATGAACAGGTATATTGAAATACTGACTGTATTAATCCCTACAGTATCTGAAGAACTCTGAAACTACGTTTCAAAGTTTCGCAGATACTTTAGAGATTAATAGTCAATGTCTTCCAAATGACAACCTCACCTGGATGATAATATAAAGATCAAAATGTTGGAAATTGGTTACCTCCTAGGCTGATAATTTAAGTTTTTGAATTCCAGAACTAGACGACCCACCATTTTCGCTGTTTTGTGGCAGCAGTGTGTGCAACATAAATGACATCTATTCTAGATAAGTTGAAGACCCCTGCTCGTGATTGATCACTCTCTAAAACCTATTCAAAAGAAGATTGGTACAAAGCGAGAAACGTAGCAAAATTCAGAATCATTTTTTGATGAGGGAAATGTTCTACAAAAACTCACAGCCAGAAAGACAGTGAGCTTTTACAGGAGAAGACAGGAGAAGACCGTATGGGCGCTGGCAGTCGGACGACTTATCCGACAAAAACGTAATGGACAAGGCAAGCGGATGTCACCGGTCACGCAGGTGTCACTGGTTTGCGACGACAGCCGAGTTCTTTTCTGGCAGACGGAGGCTATCAAAATCAATGTCAATGATCACCGGAACCCAATAAACCTAGCCACATATGGGCAACGCTGAAGTTGACATAAGTAAAAGGAACACCCCAGTGTTAGGGGAGAGGGATGACGGACTCAGGAGTTGGGCCAAAGAAATGAAAAACAATGCACGTGATGAAAGGAATCAGAGCGATACGGATTATTCAATTATAATAAAGCTCCTAGAGAGAGAAAACATCCTGAATTTCTCCTCATTCTGACAAGCCACGGCACGCGAAGAACGAACCGGAAAACGCAATCTACGATACAGAAGAAGTCATGTGGAGAGGAGATGGATGCAAACAGCGTCGATGGTTGAAAAAAGGTTTGAATTTCCAGAGGAAGAATATCCTATGGTTGCGGTGGTGTTTACCGGGGACAGCAATCGTTGAACACAAGGGAGTGCTTGCTTGGAAGGAAGGATTTTACAAAGAAGCCCTTGATCAGGGAGAGATGGTAAGGTTAACACCCCCAAGTTAAAAGAAGGACAGCAACGGCTGGGAGTAACGCAAAAGAGGCCGAAAACATGAAACAGAAGGTGAGAACCTTTAAGAAGGCTACAGGCATCCATAAAGGTCTTTTTTAGTTCGGGCGTCTCTATCCTACACCGTCTACATATCGATGATTGACGCTGGCACTACGGTGCATAATTCGAATGGTTCGTCACACCCTCTGATCCTTATCTTGAAGGCACAGTTCACGGTAATTCAATGAGCGGGAACGTCAATGGCCTTTCCGCCTCTCGATCGATGTCACGTCAGACGGTCAGACGAGTGTCGAAACAATACAGATTGCAACGATTCGTTCTAGGACCCACAAACAATCAGCTGATAACCGAGTGACGAGGCAAAGTTTTCCTCCCATTCTTTTTTCCTCTGTTATTCTTTTTGCTGCCGCGATCCATTATGTGATTTCCTACTCCTTGAGGCTGAGTAATGTGAGCATTTTTTGCTGTTACCAGGGTTTTTTTGTTTATTTATGCTTATATGTAAATGATTTTTTGCTCCCCATAGTCTGTTATTCGTACCAGGACCCACACGTACGCAGTGAGAAACATTGTATAGCTTGTCCAAACGCCCCACTCCTTCATTTTTCTGGTTCCATTCTCGTCCAGCATCATTTTGACGGTTTTTCGAAGCCTTTTCATTTTGGAAATACCGATTCTCGCAGTTTCTTCACTTCATCGCACTATTTTCGATCTTGTGGACCATTTTTCATCATAATCTGGATTACCCAAAACTATCGTGAACTATGCCTTTAAGCGTTCACGGCGGCTCCCCTTATATACCTGACCTTGTGCACATTCTTTTTACTTACTGGTCTCTTGAATCACTCATCGATCTTCTCGCTCCACGATAGTGACCTTATCCTACCGCAAAGGTTGCATCGTTCACGTGACTTCCTCTCATGTGTGTTGAAGAGCAGAAAAGAAAAAGACCCCGTTCTTTTTCTTTTCTGCTCTTCAACACACATGAGTAAAGCGGCAATGTTTATTATTCATGTGACAAAGGCTATTTCTCTTCTGAAACATTCATTGTCAAAATATCTCACAACTTACAACTTGCACGCTACCAGTAAGGCCCTTGCTAAGAGTTTTACCACTTGTTTGATCTGAATATGGGCTAGGTGCTGCCTTTAACAACGAGTATGGTGATACCAGTGAAACTGTGATAGCGTATGCATCACGGTCACTAACTGATTCGAAACGAAAATGCGCTCAAGTAGACAAAGAATCGCTGGGAATCGTTCACAGCGTGGAGAAATCTGATCAGCTTTCATATGGCAGACGTTTTACATTGCTTACAGTTCGCCATTGGTGCAGATACTCAGGCCCAACGTAGGGCTTCCGCTGATAGTGGCAAAGCGATAGCACAGAAGGGCACTTGAATGGATGGCTTATTCTTTTGACAATATGTATAGTGAGAGAGAAGAATTCGGAAACACAGACGGATTGTTAAGGCTCCCGGACCAGTGCAAGTAACGAGTGCGGCGAAGGTTCTGCATGAGGTGCCGATACTTGAAACGGGGGATAACGTGATTTGCAATTAAAGAGATAGCTTAAACAACTAGTGTGGATGGTAGGTTGCGTAGGGTTTCAATCGAGGTGGACGGAAGACGGGAGGGATTTGAGGAAAGGAAGATTCTAACGTTCTTTTGAGAAAGGGCTCGCTGTTTTCGTGTTGGGATTGCTCAGAAAGAGAGATAATAGATTATTGACCTCGCAAAAAAAATGCAGAACGAGTGTGCTTAAATATTGCATAACAGCCACTTCTATCACAGTAAGATAATAATTCAGCAAGTAAAGTATAAAAATTTGGTTTAGAGGAGTAGACGCTGCCACTGCGAAAATGGGAAGAGATTGTGAAGCCTGTGGTGCACTAAGTAAGCGCCTCTGTAGAGTACGGCTCAATCCTTGGGAAAAAACAATGGAAGGCATGTAAGTTTTTGCGAAATCATTATGGTCTAAATTGTTAGCAGTTGTCGTGGATGGACCACTCCACGATCCAGCGCTGAGTGGTATTGAAAAGATGCATCAGTTTGCATCAGTTCTCTTTTTCTCATTCTACTGAACTTACACTGAAGTTGAATACCTCTTCTATTCGTATTGGATGTTTCGTAACCTATTCCGTTTCAAATTCAAAGGATGGATGACCCGATCGACTACTGCAGGATTTGGCGCAAGACGGATTTGGCGGGAAAGGAGGCTATAAAAGGCCCCACGAGACAGATGGCTTCCTCATCCCTTTTTTTTTGATTGTTGGTAGTACTTTTATTAACAGTTACTTTGCTCATATATTTGTATTTGGTTTAATTACCCAAGTTTGAGGTGGATAAAACGTTGTGTTTGGCTTTCGTTATATCCATATCGAAAAAATCCGCGTGGCAATAAGGCGACACATGGTGCATCGGACGGACCAAGTACAAAACGAACTCAGGTCCGCTTTTTAAGAATTTCAAGTGGAGTTTTGGAGTTCTTTAATTCTTCGTTTTTTTACACTTTTCAACAAGTGTAGTACAAGTTGAGTACCCTAAAATTCCATAGATAAGAGCGGGTGAGCCTACCGGTGAAAAATGAATTGGAAAAAATCGAAATTGAATGCAGTCACCCTTCTAACTTGATGGATGGATAAATTAAACTTCGAAGAAAAAGTTAAGAAGAAGCTCCGCCCCTCAACTTTAAACCCCGCCCACTTATTAAACAATTCATATAGAAAAACAGCGATCCGTAAAAATCGCTATTTTTCTATATGTATTGTTTATTAAGTGGGCGGGGTTTAGAGTTGAGGGGCGGAGCTTCTTCTTAACTTCTTCTTCGAAGTTTAATTTATCCATCCATC